TGCGACACCTTGAACTCTCCATCGATGCTACCCTTAACCATGCCCTCGGTGGCGCTGATCGAGAGCGTCGAGTTGGGAGTAGGGGCGGGAGAAGTGCCGTCGTCCAGGTAGAAGGTCTGGTTCGCGCTGGCGTTATCGTCGAGGTTAACGATAAGACCATAGGGCGACTGGGCGGTCTCGTACACGGTGTAGGCCGGGTTGGAGTGGGTAAGCAGTGCACTACCGGGGCGAAGGTGCACATTGATGGTCGAGAGTGGTGCAGAGACGGTGACGTTCTTGTTGTACTCGACATCGAGCGCTTCGAACGTGAAGATGTTGCGCCACTTTCCACCGGCGTTGGGGAAGAGTGCCTTGATCTCGGTCACATTCGGCTCGAGTGTGGGGCTGACGAGGAGGTCGTCACCAAACAGGAACTGGTGTGCATAGTCCTTGGTCTGTTCAAACACCTCGGGGAACTCGTACCAGAGCGCACGCACTGCCGGTTCGCCCGAAGCCGATGCCTTGCCCATGTGCGAGTAGAGCGAGGGCAGGATCTCGTACCTCTTACCGATCGCGATGCGCGATGCATTGGCGACCGAGTCCCATCGGAACGGCTCCTGTGCAATCGCACCGATCGTGTTGTGATTGCGCATGAATGGCAGGAACGCACCCAACATCATCCAGCGGTTGCACAGTTCCTCGTCCGAGTTGCGGTTGAAGCCGCAAATATCCGCACCGATCAGGTGGATTCCAAAGATCTGGAACTGCAGAACGCCGTCGATGCTCTGTGCCATACCCGCGCCCGCCTTGTACGCCTCCTCACCGGGGAGGATCGTCCAGAGCGCGTAGTTGTCACCGAGCCAGTGGCCTGTGAACTTGCCCGCACCGGGGTAGGTGGAGCGCGAGATGAGGAACGGTCGTTCGTCGGGACGGATCTGGCGGAGTGCGTTGTAGAAGTGCTGCTCCTCGAGTGTGCCGTCGAGATTGTGTACGTCGTAGAAGGCGCGCTGGCCATCGACGCCCACCGCGTCCATGGCGATGGTCTTCTTGTCAAGGTTGACGTTGAGCGGCATCTCGCTCGAGTGGATGCCGTTGTGGATCGCATACGGCGGGTTCGAGAGGTACCTCTGCGACGCATTCGCATACTGGTAGTCTGGATCATTAGGGCCGTACTTGCCGCCGCCCTCGGCGCGCTTGGTAATCACATCGTGCTCGCGCGACACGACGACGGCACGACGCTGCATCGCATCGTTGTTCTGCACAGGTCCCTGCTGGAAGGTGTAGGTGCCGTTGACGGTGATGTTGCCCGAGTTGCCCCAGGTGAGGTTGTTGTAGCCCTGCGGCCAACCCGTGACGCTGGTGGCGGCCGTGTAGGCGGGCGTGTCCGACAAGTTCGTCTCCGCACCCGCCGCGTTGCCAATCACAAAGCTCGAGGGCTCGTTCATGTCGAGCCAGATGCCCGAAAAGTCGACGATCTCGCTAAAGTTGCGGATGGCCTCGGTCCACCACTTGGCCGCATTCTGCGCCTGCTGGTCGACAAAGCTCGTGTAGCCCGGCCAGACCTCGCCGATGTACTCGGTGCCGTTGCGGTTCTTGACAAACACGTCGAGCTCGTCGCCGCGCGTGCCCGGGTAGAAGGTGTCCGAGTCGTTGGTAGGTGCCTTGGGAATCGCCATGTCGATGATGGGGATGTAGTGCTGGTGGTTGTCGCGCAGGCCCTTGATCATCGCCGCAAACTCGTCCTTGGGGAAGCGCTCGGGGTCGGTGGTAAAGTCCCTGAAGTTCTGCATGTAGTCGATGTCGTTCCACTGCACCTCGAGCGGGATGTCGGCCTCGCGCATCGCATCGACGATCTTCTGCGTGTCCGAGACGTTGTTGTAGCCCCATCGACACAGGTGGAAGCCGTAGGACCAGTACGGATGCATGACCGGGTTGCCGATAAAGTTGACGTACTGCTGGATGGCTGTGTTCGGGCTATTCTTGCCCTCCGTGGAGTCGCCCGAGAAGAAGCGGAAGTCGAGCGTGCCGCCGATGGCGCGGTACTGGATGACGCCCTTGCGCAGGAGCACGTCCATGCCCGCCGTGTTCTGGAGGTACACCGAGTGCGTGCGCAACTTGCCGTCGCTGCCGCGTCGGGCCTCGGTGTAGATGGGGTGGTAGCCGTACATGTTCGAGTCGACTGGCGTGCCGGCATCGAGGGTAAAGAAGGGCTGGAGCGTCTCGTCCGGGTCTCGTCTGAAGCTGCCGGTCACGTACTCGCCGAGTCCATAAATGTTGGCGCCCTCGGGTAGCGCCGAGGAGAGCTGGAGGTACTGGTTCTCAAACACCATCTCGTGCTTGGGCATGGCCGTCGAGTTGCGCTTGGTGTCGGCAGAGACGTTGTTGATGCCCGAGTCGTAGGTGGGGATGTTGTTGGGGCGCGTGTCAAAGATGACGTCGCCCGAGTCCTTGCGTGCGATCCAAAAGGCCCATGCGGAGCCCTCGGCCTGGGTGCCATTTTCGGCGGTGTGATGGAAGACAAGGTCGCTGTCGTCGGCGGTGGAAGCGTCCTGGACCTCGTCGGGGCTGTCGCTGGGACGGTCAAAGATGAGGCCGTTGGGCAGCTGGTACTGCTGCTTGTCCGAGTCGTAGACGTGCACGTGAAGCTGGTGCTTCTTCTCGTACACGACTGAGAGTGTGAGGTTGGCAATGTCGACGCCGTACGCGTTGCACGCCTCGCCCGCCAGCGCGAGCTGGGCGGTGAAGCCGTGCTGCGACTGCTTGGGGTCGCCCACAATCTGGTAGCCGGGACACTTGGTGACGTCGAAGGAGGGCGCGATGGTTGAGCCGTTGGAGTCGGCGCGCGCCTGAAGGATGTTGGTCTCCAGCTGGTGCTCCCAGACGGACGAGGGCAGCGCCGCAGTGGAGGAGAGCGTGGCGAGCAAGCCGGCCAGCAGAGGCGTCAGCGAAGCCGCCTTGATGGACCGCATCTCGAGCAGATCAATGTAGGAAGGGGGAAAAGGGTGATCTTGAGGAGGGTGATGAGGTGACAGCGAGCGAATGGCTCGGAGGCGTGCCTCTATATATGGCTCTGGGATGGCGGCGGGGGGAGGGGGCTCCACAACGCCCGCTGTGCACTGTTTGGCGGCACGCCTGCAGTGCGGAGAGAAGAAGGCGTGTAGCGGGGCTCCAAATCGCCGCTGTGGAGCTGTGGAGTGCGGCAGTGGCGGTTGTTGACAGGACGGCGTCTGTGCCGGGTTGCTCGGCGAGATTTTTCTTCTCTCTTTGGGAGCTTGACGAATCTTTTCCCCCACGGCGAGAAGATGCAGCGGCCGGAGAGACTGGGCGGCTAACAAGACGGCGGATCGCGCTGATGTGTGGGACAGGATCCGCCGGGCAGAGCGTTGCCGCGGTCGCAGCGGCGTGCTGAAGGGAGCGGGCAAGTTTGCGCGGCACGGCGATGCGAGGCGAGGTGAGGCGAGGTGAGGCGAGGCTGTCGCTTGGCGAGACGCACCGAGACACGAACGAGCGAGGGCGATTAGGTGCACAGTGAGCAGGGGAAACAGTGAGCCGCAGATCTGCAGAGCGGGATGCACACTTTGTCGCCGTACTTGGCAGCCGAAAAAAGCAGCACAACTGCACACGAGCGTCATGGCAACCAGCGGTGCAGCGATTCAATCCGCCAAAATTCTCCGCGGTGTCACAAGGCAGCGGGATGCGAAATCCGTTCGGCAAGCAGTGGCATCCGGCTGTAGCCATGCCGGTGTCTTGCCCTCCCTTTGCCATTGCTCCGTCCAGCGCTGTCCATTGCGGCACACTCGGACGTCGATTCACGCAGTCAACAAACATGCTAGGCAAGAGCTCGAGCCAGCTTTGATTTCTTTTGAATATTCGTAGGACACGAGGTGACGGACAGCGGGTCGTGGTTACACTGGGTTGCCGTGGTCGGAAGAGTTGCGGTGCTCGGCGGAACCCATTGAGCCTCGACGAAGGCACCGGAGAGATCTCGGAGAGATTTTCTTCGGTGAAGTTTGGTCCGGGGCCCCTTTGCTTTGGTGGAGCTGGTTGACCTGATCGATTGCGAGCGAGCGCATGGTGAAGCACAGGCAATGGGTAGCATGCAGCCTCTCGTTCTTCCGATGGCTGGGCAGGCACGGGCACGGATCGCACTGCTGCTTCACAGCGTGGAATGACGGGCAAGCGCACCGAGAAGGCTCCTAGCGAGCCTCGGCAGTTCGTCGCCAGGTGTGGTGCGCAAGCGAAGCCCGATGCGAATCCGCGCAAACCGCCGAGAGCCCCGACGAGCACGGAGCCCGTTTGTTATTGTTAGACCGACGAAATGTCAACGAGGTGCTAGATGGTGCCGGTGTAACAGAGCTAGATAAATCGCGCGGGCTCGGGCATTGCAACTCCGCTTCACGTGAGCCAAGACAGGGGCCGAGTTGTGCGACGTGCATCTGAGCAGCACTCCCACTTGGCTCATCGTGCATCGATTCGCAGTGACTGTTTTGCATGAATGAGACAGTACCAGCACGGAAGGTGTATGATGGAATCGACTGAATAGCAAGCTCGTTTGGGTCTTGCAGAGCGTAGGTGGGGGCGGCAGCGAGCAACCTCAGGCCGGTGGAGAAGAGGTGTGGAGATGGATGCATGCATGGCGTTGGGGAGCGAAAAGTGTTGGTCTCAGCTCCACATCCCAAACAGGCAGGCAGGCAGGCAGGCAGGAGGCGACTCTGCTGTGTTTTGCAGCCAAAAAGGGGCCAAAAAGGGTCCGGCCAGCAGGGGTTGAATTTCTAGTATTTCTCGATTGGGAGCGCATTTGGTTTTTGTAGTCAGGAGGGCAGCAGACCCACACGCGCGGCGGCCTCCTATTTGGGCTGCAGCCGCTGCTCGTCCCTTTGGGCCCGCCCTGCTCACACCCTCTCCCGACAGGAACCGCCCTTGAGAGCCAACTTCCACCATCCCTCCACCAGTCCTCGCCTCCGCCTCGCCTCGCATCGCATCAAGCTCCATCCTCGTCAATCTCGTCAATCTCGCTCACCATGGCCGCTGCCATCGCACGTCCCCAGGGCGCAAGACCCATGCCCTCCGCCTCCTCGTCCTCGGGTGGAAGCGCAGGCAATCCAGCCGCAACATCCTACGCAAATCAACAAGGCTTCGCCCCAACGTCGACAAAGGAGGCTGCCTGGTACGAGCACGAGGAACGCATGCGTCCCTCCTACATCCATCAACACGCTCCTCAACCCCTCGCGCCCACCTCGCACTACAACCAGCAGTACCCGGCTCAACCCCGCGCTCAACCGCCCGTAAGCCCCTCGGCGTACGCGCAGCACGCCTACGCTCACCAATACCCGGTGCACCACCAGCAGCAGCAGCGCGCTTCGCCTGCTTACGCCACCCAGATGCCGCCTCCGCATCTCCAGTATACCCAGCAGCAGCAGCCTATGCACTACCAGCAACTCCAATCGCCTCAGAGGCACGCCCATCCTGCCTCCTCGCCGTCGTCACGCCCGCCGCCCTCGCCCTCGGCAAAGTACGCAAACCCTCACCTCAACAGCGCGCCCTCCCGCTTCGCTGCCAACCCAAACTACCGCGACTCGGACGAGCTGCCTCGCTCCACCGTAAAGGGAAGCGCATTCATGCACAAGGGCTTCTGGGACATCATGTCGCTCGTCAACAATCAAGCTCCCTCCCCTGGCCGCCTCGCCCCGCCCTCCAATGCACAGCGGCCCTCGTCGCCCGGCAAGTTCCGCGCCACCCTCAGCAAGGCCTCGGGCGCTCTGCGCAAGAACAACAACGACAGCTTCCACGCCGGCCCCGAGTATGGCGCCCAAGCCGCCTATCCTCTCACCGGCAATGCTTCGCCGCGCACTCCCAGCTCTCCCGTCAAGGATGCCTCCACTGCTGCCGTGCCCGGTGCCTACCCTCGCCCTTCCTTTGCCTCGCCTTCCACCCACACTGCCAACGCCTCGGCCGTCAGCGCAGCCCTCAACTTCTTTACTCCCGCCGCCATGGGTCCACGCGCACAGAAGAAGCGCATCAGCGTCGACATGGTCGGCTCGCCCCAGACACAGACCTTTGTCCACGCCGCCCATGCGAGCGACGCAGAGCAGGCAGAGGTCATCCTCAACCGCTGGTCCAGGGACGGCGTCGGCAAGGTCGCCGATCCTTCCTGGGTAGAGCCCATCAAGGAGGCGCTCCGTCTTCAGGCCGCCAGGAACCAGGCCGAGGCTATCGCGCAGGTCCAGGCCGCCATGCACCAGGACAGTCTCATCCACGACAACCCGCGTCAGCTTCACATTGTCAACGGCGCGCCCAGCCAGATCTCCATGCTCACCACCACCACCGCCACCGCTGGCCACAGCACCCTCTCCAACACCACCATCCGCGCTCCTTTGGCCTCGCCCCCCGCACTTTCCCCCACGCGCGAGAACAAGCCCTTTGCCGGCATCGCCGAGGAGCCGCTTTCTTCCACCGACGCAGAGCTCGAGGCGGCTATCCATGCCCAGCTCCAGCTTGGCAAAACACCCTCACAACCCGTCTTCAAGCCGCCCACCCTCCGCACCAACACCGCAGGCACGCTGCTCGTCAACCCTTCGCCGCCCGTCGCACGCGACGGCAACGTGCCTACCCCCGACTACATGCAGTACCGTCCGCCCTCGCCGCACGCAGCCACGCCCGGCGCATCGAACCGCAATAGCCGCAACATCGACGGCCTCCCCTCCGGTGCGCCCCACGCCATCAACGCCATGTTCGAGACGCCCTCACTGCAGCCGGCCAACGCCAACGCCGAGCGGCCCAACTCGATGGTCATCCTCGACAGCCTCAGGTCCATCGACACCGCCGGCATGAGTTCGCTCGCCGACTTTACGCAGCCCATCGGCGCCGCCGTGCGCCCCTCGCTCGAGACTGTGGAAAAGAGCGTGGCGGCCAAGATCTACTTTGAGAATCTCTACTACGGCATCCTGAAGAAGCCCAAGGCGCGCGACACGCGCCGCGCGGGGCTCGAGGCGGAGCTGGCGGCGCTGCGCATCCCCGAGTCGAGCAAGGCGCAGATCCGCGAGGCGTGGATGGCCAACGAGACGCGCTACCTGCGCGACCTGCGTGCGCGCGTCAACGTCAACTCGTTCCTCAAGCTCAAGACGATCGGGCACGGCGCGTTTGGCGTGGTGGCGCTGTGCAAGGAGCGCCAGTCGGGCCAGCTGTACGCCATGAAGCAGCTGCGCAAGGCCGACATGCTGCGCAAGGGCCAAGAGGGCCACGTGCGCGCCGAGCGCGACCTCATGACCTCGGCAAGCGCAAGCGCCTCGGCCAGGTGGATCGTCAAGCTCGTCTACTCGTTCCAGGACGTCGACCATCTCTACCTCATCATGGAGTTCATGGGCGGCGGCGATCTGCTCAACCTGCTCATCGAGAAGGACATCTTTGAGGAAGACTTTGCGCGCTTCTACGTCGCCGAGATGATCCTTGCCATCCACGAGGCGCATTCCTTTGGCTACATCCACCGCGACATCAAGCCGGACAACTTTCTCTACACCTCCGACGGCCACATCAAGCTCGCCGACTTTGGACTGTGCCAGTCGTTCCACTGGGCGCACGATGGCGCGTACTACGACCAGCAGCGCAAGAATCTGCTCAAGAAGCACGGCATTGATCTGGACGACTCGCATGCGGCGGCGGGCATGCGTCGTCGTGCACAGGCCACAGGTCGAGGCGGAGGAGTGCCTGGTCAGGCAGGCGCGGGGTTGAGCGACAAAGAGCTGGTGGAGATCATGTCGGATCGCAATGCGGACGGCACGCCCATGACGCACGTGCTCACGTGGCGTGAGAAGAACAAGAAGAAGATCGCCTACAGCGTGGTGGGCACCAACAACTACATGGCGCCCGAGGTGCTGCGCGGGCTGGGCTACGATCAGGCATGCGACTGGTGGTCGTTGGGCGTGATTGTGTTCGAGATGCTCTATGGCTATCCGCCATTTGTGTCCAAGTCGCGCCATCTGACGCGCCAGAAGATCCTCAACTGGAAGCAGACGCTGCGCTTCCCACCCAAGCCGCGCATCTCGCGCGAGGGACAGGACTTTATCGCGCGTCTCGTATGCGAGCGCGAAGACCGCTTGGGCAGCACGGCTTCTGCCTCGGTAAGTCGTCCCAACAGCTACCTGCAGAGCGCGCGTCGATCTGGCTTTGCGAACAACGGGACGGCAAGTAGCGGGAGTGGACTGCAGGATGGCGTGGAGGATTTGATGACGCATCCGTGGTTCCGTGGGATTGACTGGGATAATCTGCACCGCATGCGTCCTCCCTTCCGACCTGCACTCAGCCACGCCGGTGACACCAAGCACTTTGAAGACGACATTGAGGACGCACCTCTTCCGGCACCCGGAGCGGCGGACAATCCGAATGCCGACCAGCCAAGGGATCCGATGTTGAGGGACAGGGAACAGGGTCCCAAGCTGCTCGAGATGCGCAAGCAGCTCGCCTTTGTCGGGTATACCTTCAAGAGCCCCAAGGCATTCGACCCGCGCGAGCAGCTCGCCGACGAGCGCAACGTCATTGCCGCCGAAAAGGCCGCAGGCATGCAGAGAGGCAGGAGCAGAGAACCTACCGAGATGGGGAGCAGGATCAGGAGCATGTCCATGTAGTCATTGCTGCTCCGGATACGTCGTGGCTATTAGTTTTGAAAGGCCGTGGATAATGCATTTGCTTCATGTTGCGCGTTGCGAGTGTCGAGTGTGCAGGCCGAGCAACTTTGATGTCAAGTGCCTGCTGCACAGTTGGCGGTGTCGGCGGTGTCGGCATCGGGAAGTGCAGGCGCGCGGGTCGGGAATCGAGGCTTCCCGATTCGACGCCCGGTGTTGGCTGCTGCACGTGCATGTCGCCCCGCCGGGAAATTTCAGGGTTCTGCGCGCGCCGATCGAGCTTCCCGCGCGCGGGCGCGGACGCCGAGCTGCCCGAAACTCACTTCTGCACGTTGAAAGGGTTCCTGACAGCTCCAGAGCTCCGGTACGGACCGGAGGGCACCACCGCCCATTGAGGGGCTCACGCTTCCCGCCGCTTTGCCACGCCTTAGCTGCGCGGCAAACTCATCGAAACGTCCGTGCGAGGGGAGACGGACAATGCGACGAGGAAAAAGTTAACATGCGCCCATCTCGTCTTCATCGCCCATCACTTGTGCCACCTTTCCTCACCCCATCATATCAACACTGTTCTCCAATCATGCCGGCAACTTACGATCCATCCACACGCAACGTGTTTGCAGGACCGAACTCTTTGGTCGACTACTTTAACCCGGACAAGAACGCACCGCTGCCGCTGGTGGAGTTGCCGCCACAGCTCAATCCGTACTATGACGATGGCGTGCGCATCTATGCCAAGATGCTCACCGCCCTGCCCGCGACCAATGTAAAGAGTCTACCCGGTAAGTTCCATGGAGCACGGTCCATCGCTGAAGGAGCAGCTTTCGTACGTCGCAGTTTGGGAAGAAGGGCAGATGCTCGTGGAGAGAAGGTGGGCGAGCCGGGAAGGTCTCGGCTTATATCTTTTGCGGATCTTCTCTTCTCAAAGAACCCTAGATTAGATAGCGTTGGACACAATGCATCGGTCTCAGCGTCATGGCAACCGAGAGAGAGAGAGGCAGAGATAAGATAGCAAGAGGCATCTTATTCTCCGAGACGCAGAGCATGGCGTCGGTCAAGTCGAGGGCGGCCTGGCGATTGCGATGCAGCTGCTATTGGGTGGCGTGCGAGGCGGCGGTGTAAGACGCAAGACTCCCAGATGCGGAAAGGCGGGAGCTTGAGCGGGCTCCAAGGGGTGCCAGACGCTCTGTCGCTCACCTCGAGCGGGCTCCAGAGACGCTGGACCAAAACTTTTTCGCCTTGGCTCGACTTTGCGCGATGCGACGAGTTCGATCACGCCATCTTCCCCACCTTGCCTCGGCTCATTTCTGCGCTCCAAAAAATCGCGCGCCGTGTTTGAAATTTGCCGACGTAACATGGACTTCTTCTGCCACACCCGTCAAATTGTGCATACGATCCTAACCCCTCTCGCTCCTCTCCTTTGCTTGCCTGTACAGCTCTGTCGCTACTGGAGTCTGGCGGGGTGATCTCGCTCGACTCCACTCCGGAGGAGCGTGCGGCGCAGACGACTCATACGGTGACCGAGTCGTCGTCCGGCTCAACGGTGACGTCCATGTCGATGATCGCTCGCCAGCACGGCGTGAAGAAGGTGCGCGCCTGGATGTCGAACAAGGTGTCGCCGACCAAGTCGTCGCTCATGCGCTTTTTCGGACTCGAGCTCGCGCTGTTTGGTGGACCGTCGCAATCGCCACCGCAGGATCCCATGGGTGGTATTGCGAAAGCCGCCGCACAGGGCAGCCAGCCCGGCTCGTACAATCCGAACCAGTACGAAAACCCGGCCAACCCCGCGGCTCACGAGCGCTGGACGGGGAAACAGCTTCTCGAACAGATGCCGGACATCAACGTTTTCGCTGGAGGTATGGGTACAGGAGGCACCATTACGGGGACGGCAAAGAGGCTCAAGCAGAGCCAGCCAAAGTGTCATGTGGTGGGCGTGTGCGTTGCGCGCGGCGACAAGGTGCCCGGTCCAAGGCCGAGGGAGCTGCTGGAACCGGTCGACTTTCCATGGAAGGCCCTCGTGGACGATGTTGAGGATGTGGCGAGTAGGGAGAGCTATACGCTCAGCATGCAGCTTTGTCGATACGGCATCGTGTGTGGACCCAGCTCGGGCTTCTCGCTGCAGGGACTGTTCCAGGTGCTTGAACGACGCAAGCGCGCCGGAACCCTACAAGCCCTCCGCCAGCAAGACGATGGCGAGCCGGTCAAGGCGGTGTTCTTGTGCTGCGATCTGCCGTTCCAGTACGTGGACGAGTACTTCTCCAAGTGCGATGCCGCGCTCTTCCCGCCCATTGTCAACGAACACCTGTTCAGTGTGGACCAGTACGCCTACTCCACCAGCTGGATCCTCGATGCCGCTTCGGCACAGACCATGCTCGTCTATCCGCGATTCGCCACGAACTCAGCGCCTCTGATGGACGCTTCGGAACTCGCATCGGATCCGTCCGAGGAAGGATCCGATGCTTCCACACCCGCTTCACCGGGACTTCTAAGACCAGCCATCCTAGACCTTCGTGCCCGAAGCGACTACGAGCAAGGACATTTGGCTCATGCTAGGAACGTTCCACTGTCATCGCTCAGGGAGCAAGATGTCTCGCCGTACGCAGATGCCGTACTGCTCGCTACGCAGGCTACCGAGATCCAGAAGCGTTTCGTCGACTTGCCCCACGTACCCCACCAGTGCCCAGGCAACGGCGTCGCGGAACTCAACAGCTTGGATCTCGCCGAGATGATGGCCTGCCTGCGCAAATCCGATCGCGAAGTGCTCGTCATCGACTACAAGGGCGATACCGCCAAACTCACCGTCTCGGCCCTCCGACATGCAGGCATCAAGGCCTACTCCGTCGCAAGCGGTTGGAACGGCCTACTCGCTGCAGGCGTACCCACCACAAAATAAAAACTCCCTCCCCAACCCCACTTTGCACTCTTGTCTATTCGTCTCGTAGCATTCTCCGCACATATCTTTATCACAACCTCGTATATTGCAACTTTGGTTTGTTTCTTGGCTTCACCGCGTGCGCGCTAGGGTAGGGCTGGGGGATCAAAGAGGCTGGTGAAGGGATGCTCGGGCGTAGGCTGCAGCCAGTTGCACTCGTCGTACACGGCGCGGCTCTCGTCACCCTCGATCATGTGGAAGGTGTAGATGAATCGGCTCTTGGCGCTTGTGTTCTTCTCGCTCTTGTGCAGCACCGAGCCGTGGATGAGCACGAGCGTGCCCGCCTTGCACTCGGCCACGCGCGCGTCCGCATCGCTCCACGTCGTCTCTTCGTCGTCGGCGAGCTGCAAGAATGTGGTGCCTGCATCGGGGTTCTTTGGATCCTTGCGCACGAACCGCTTGTTGACACCGCGAGCGACGCCGAGCTCATTGTGCGCATCCGCAGGGCGAACGTTCGGCCTCTCTGCTTTCGGAGGTTGCTGGTCCTTGGGCCATCGGTGCGAGCCGGGCAGGAAGGAGAGACACCCATTCTCGAGCGTGCAGTCTTCGAGTGCGAACCAGAATCCGATGGCCGAGGGCGGATCGGTGTAGAGGAACGTCGAGTCGTTGTGGCTCGGCACCGCGCCGCCGATGCTGGGTTGCTTGCAGATGATCATGCTCTGCAGCACCTTGGGCTGCGTATGCACGCCCAGGCTGCGCGCCACATTCTGCAGCTCCGGGCTGAACGAAAACCGCGCAAATACGGGGTCGAGCATGTGCAGGCCGTGCCCGCACTTGTTGATCGCGCGCTCCTTGGGCACCGTCAGCTCGCCCGCGGCATCCAGCGCGCCCTCCTCGAAAAAGTAGTGCACCTTGTAGCCCGAGTCGAGAAAGTAGCGGTCGCCCACGTGCGCCTCTTCGCCGCGCGCCTCGTCGGACGTGGTGAACTTGGTGAGCGGATGGCCGGAGAGCGAGAACGACGACACGAGGTGCTTGCTGTGCGCGAGCAGCGGCGCTGGGTCGAAGAACGAAGGGAGGAGCAGGTAGCCGTCGCGGTGGAATTGGGCCACCTGCTCGGGAGTGAGCATGCCTTTCGCCGCGTTCATGATTGTGTCGATGGCGTGCGTTGCGGAAAGGAGCAGCGGATGGTGTGACGGTGGTGAGAGATAGCGTCGCGGAAGGACGCTTGGGGCAAGTCTTCTTCCCCACATGCAGAGGGCTGCGCCGAAGTGAGCTTTCGGCTTTTCGGAACGCAGAGCCCTTCCCGACCAGCCGACCCGTAGCGGCTTCCTTTTTTTGCAAACAGGCAGCTTGACGCGATGTAACATTGTGGAGAGGGCCCCACCCCTTTTTTAGCCCCGCGTTGGATTGCCGCTTGGCTGGATGCACAGCCGTGCTCGGGCGGCCTTGTGACGTGACCCTGAAGCGGTGGATGCGAACATCGGGAGCTGCACTCGTCCGGATCGTGGGTAACATCATCGGCGCAGCGTTCCTCTCCTCTCTATCCACGTCGACCTTTGCAACACGGTGCTAGAGACGGCACTGGAAGTCACAGTCGCCGCGACCCTCGGTAACTTCCGGCTAGCGGCACTCGATACGACGCCATCGGATCCTGCAAGGACGGTTCGCACAACAGCGATGGATCCAGCGGCGTCGACGTCCTCGCGCGAGGACGGCGACACCTCGGAATTCCACCATGCGCAAGATGACGACTTCACCCTACGCGCGGTGCTCGCAGGGCTGTTAATAGGCTGCCTGCTCGCCTTCACCAATCTCTACCTGGGCCTACAGTCGGGCTGGATCAGCATCATGTCGCTGCAAAGCTCGCTGTTGGGCTTTGCGCTGTTCCGCGTGATTCCCAGACGGATCAATCTGGCCGGACGCCGCTTGGTGCTGATGTCGAGCCCGTTCACGCCGCAGGAGAATGTGCTCGTGCAGACGACGGCCGCAGCGGTGGGCGTGATGCCGCTCTCGGCAGGGCTGGTGGGCGTCATCCCGGCACTCAAGAAGCTCACCTGGGACAAGGACGGCAGTGGACCCATCGACCTCGACTTTCTGCAGCTGCTCGGATGGTGCTTTGCGCTGGCGTACTTTGGCGTCTTCTTCGCATCGCCGCTGCGCGAGCCCATGATCGTGCGCGAGAAGCTCACCTTCCCCTCGGGCACGGCTACGGCCCAGCTCATCGGCGTGCTCCACAACAAGCCTCTGCTCACGCAGCGCGCAAGCACGGCCAGTGGGCTCCGACGCCGTAGCCATGCCCTGGACGAAGCCGAAGCAGGACAAGATGACGAGCGCACCGCTCTGCTGAGCTCGCAGCATCGCCCAGCGAGCTCGGATCGGGATCAGAGCGAAGCTGAAGCAAGCGACAGAGACAATGCTGGTGTCGATGCGATCTCTGGGTCCAAAGGATGGAAGTCGCTCGCCTGGGCCTTTTCGGGGTCGGCCGGCTTCACGGTGCTGTCGTACTACATCCCCGTGCTGTACGCCATGCCGCTGTTCGACTTTTTGCCGCCGCACAACCTGGCTGCCATGTGGGGGTTCTGGTTCACGCCCTCGCTCAACTACATCGGGCAAGGCATCATCATGGGCCTGCCGACGACAATAAGCATGACGGCGGGCGCATTGGTGGGCTGGGCAGTGCTGAGTCCGTTGGCGTACTACCAGGGCTGGGCACCGGGCCACCCGCTGGATTCAGAGACGGGAAGCAAGGGATGGATCCTGTGGATCAGCCTGGCCATCATGTGCTCGGAGAGCATCGTAGGGTTGGCGGCATTAGTCGCGAGCAATGGCCTGCGCGATCTCAAGAGCTGGACAGCACGGAAGGACGATCGTGCGGGTGTCCGCGACCAAGGAGACGAGGACGTGGACCACGAGCCTGCGCACCGGCAGACACCGACGTCGTGGGTGGTGGTTGGGCTGATCGGATCCACAGTGGTCGCCGTCGTGCTGATCTACGTCGCCTTTGGTGCCGAGGGCATTTCGCCGTGGGCGACATTGTTAGGCATCGCCATGGCGTCGCTGTTCGCCATCTTGGGGATCCGCGCGCTGGGCGAGACGGACCTGAATCCGGTGTCTGGGATCGGCAAGATCTCGCAGCTCATCTTTGCTCTGGTGCAGCCGGGCAACGTGGTGGCCAACCTGATCGCGGGCGGCATCTCGGAAGCTGGAGCGATGCAGGCGGGAGATCTGATGCAAGACTACAAGACGGGCCATCTGGTGGGCGCCTCGCCGCGTTCGCAGTTCAAGGGACAGCTAATCGGCAGCACGCTAGGCATCGTGATCAGCAGCTTTGCGTACAAGCTCTACACGAACGCCTACGAGATCCCTGGGCCGCAGTTCCCGGCACCGACGGCAGCGGTGTGGCTCAACCTGGCGAGGCTGGTCAATCGAGGTCACCTTCCGGACAAGGTCAAGCTGTTCATGATCGTGTTCGGTGCCGTCTTTGCCGTGTCGGGCCTGATCAAGACGCTGGCGCGGACCAAGGCGCTGCACGACCAAGGCACGGTGGGTGACAGCACGGCTGGCAAGATCGCCCGAATGGTGCCGAGCGGAATCGCGTTTGCGGTGGGCATGCTCAACACGCCCAACTTTTCGTTGGCGCGACTGGTGGGCGGCTTGATCGCGCACTGGTATTACGCCCGCAACCGTCAGCGGGTAGGTGCGGCCAAGACGCCTGCGGCGCTGGCGGGGATCGGCATCATCATCGTGGCGAGTGGGTTCGTGCTGGGCGAGGGTGCTGCGAGCATTGTGACGCTGCTGCTCAAGCAGAACGGGGCGCAGGCGTGGACGTGTGCCGGCTGCCGCGGTGGATGCGGAGGTGGCTGCGCTTAGAGATGTCGCTTGGAAGCTGGATCTATTTATACCATTCATTCCTCGTTGTTCGGAAGCAGTCCGAGATGCTGTCTTGGCGTGTGTGACGGTGTGATGGTGTGGGCATTGGGCATTATTGTGATCTCAGAACGTGAGCGGCCCCACTCGGACTGGACCGACAGCTTGCTGAGCCTTTCCAGAGTTGGGGCAATCGGATCGAGATCGGCTTCCGACACTCTCAGATGCAAGTGGGAGCGGCAGATGCATCGAAAAGTGTTGGTCTCGCCGGACGCGTCACGCGAGCCGCCACCTCGAAAGGCAGCAGCAGCAGCAGCAGCAGCAGCAG